CAAAAAATGTATACACATTTTAAGAAAGGAAAAAACTGTATTAATATATACTGATAACAAAGATGAATACAAGTCATGTTTGACTCCTGCAATTACAAGACGTGCTTCAAGTGGTGACCATCAGTGTCCAGGCAACTTCTGATTACAGCAAACTCTGCTTGAGCGACGTAGGCCAAAATGTTAACATCTCTTAAAACGTGTACATGTTTTTGCACCCCTGGTATCTCCGTCTCACTCACAGCCTCACAGAATTCCACTGTATGGATGGGTCTTGCCCTTGAGGTGCCTTTGTGTGGTTTCAAGCTTTTCCCATCATAAACAATGCAACAATTAACATCGGCTCATGCAAAACGAGATGGCCGAGTCTATATAGGGCATAATTTCCTAGCAGTGGAATTCCTGGGCCCCAGGGTTTAGTCATTTATCATGTTGGTTAAATTGTATTGTCAGGTCGCTGTATCAGAGTGCCTGCTTTCCTTCTCCCCTGCCAAGATCAAATTTTTTGATCTTTGCCAGTCTGACAGGTAAAAAATGGTATGTCCCTGATGTATCACTTCCCATTTTCTTGACTGTACATGAAGTGTGTTGATTGGTGGGTTCACATTCTCTTTATTCAGATCCTTTAAGCATTTATCTATCTTCTGGGTGGAATTAGGAAATCCAGGGCACAGTCCAGCTCCGCCTGTGCTCCTCCTGGGGCCAGGTGTGGCCTCGCCAATCCCGTCTGCAGCCCCCTTCACACCACAAGAGAGCTGAGCAGGGCCGGCACTGACTGCCTGGCTCACGAAGCCTAAAACCTAAGCTTCACAGAAAAACTGCTGCATCTAATTGATTTTTCTGGAAGAGTTCTTTGGAAGTTAAGGAAATAACTCTGTGTCAGATATATCCTGCTTTGCATTAACTCATCACGCAGTTCTCTGTTCCACCTTCGGCCCCAATGCCAACGAAACAGCCGTGTCCTAAGGACAAACTTAACAGCAGAAGCCTCTGGGCATGTGCGTGCACATGGTGCCTTTGCGGACACTTGGTCTAAGTGAGTTTATTTTATACCCATTTCACACACGTGGCAATCGAGGCTCAGGGCCATCGGTGACTTTCCAGAGGTCACACAGCAAGGAGGTGTTGGAGCCAGGATGGACGGCCAGCCTATCTGGCTCTAAGGCCACAGATCTCCCCACTAGAGCATCTTAATGGACGCTGCCAGCCCCAGGGATGGTGGTGATTGTAAAAAGCAGAGTCTGATGGGTGTTGCTTTTGTCACCACCAGGATCTGTGAGGGACATGGGCAGAGGATGGCGGAGCCCCCGCCTTGTCACTGTCAGAATGTGTGTGAAGACTGCACTCCTGAGCTAGAATGGGGGCAGAAAGAAGGCTACACCTGCCAAGCAGAAATCACACTGGGAGGGTGGAGCCCTCTTCTGGGGGATGGAATTTGCACACCCATCCCTCCAGCTCACCCACTTGTGAGGGGCTCCCCAACAGAGCACCTGGGGGAGCTTGACCATGGGAAACAGTGAGTGGGAGCCTGAGGAGGCACAGAACTTTTATTACCCCTGCCACCACCATGCGACGGACACCTACCCCACAAACCTGACAGTGACCATCATAATCTCAGAGCCCTGAACAAATCACAACCAAAAAATACTACCCCTGAAAATCATCACCCCATTAAAACCACTGACCCAGAGCAGGAGTGACTCAAGGAGAGGTTGTGGGATGCTGCACGGGCCGTGTTCTCTGCATGTAACGCACATGGGCTGTGTTCTTCCCATGCAACAAGGCACGGTGAGGCGGGTGGCCTCTGGTAACCTGCCGGCTTAAGTTTTCTTTAGCAGAAAAGTGTTTTTAAATGGGCTTCCTTGAAAGTGGTGCTTTCCTTTTCTTTCTATCTCTGTATTTAAATCAATTCAAGTGTTTTCCGGATGATCGGATCACAGCCACAGGGTGGATTTCCTCCCATCCTCACAATCCTGGAAGACTGCAATTGCAGACCAGGAGACTAGTAACTGAGCCCACCTGGCACGCATGGAAAGGCTGCATTCCAGACCCAGGTCGGGGCTCACAGTCCAACCTCTTCCCCTCCCCAGGTCTCAGGAATGACAGCAAAGGTAATAATATGTCACATCTCGCGTTTTCTCATTTTATGCTTGGTGTAACTGACAAGCCTGAAAATAATCAGTATTAACATCCTGATCACACTGGGGAGACATGGCTCCCAGGGTGATGAAGGGACAACAGGCCTGTCCAAAGTCACAGGGCTAGCACAGATGAGCAGTGGCGACTTGAACCTGTGTCTGCGTGAGGTGCCTCTTGCTCTCATGTGGCCTCAGGCCCAAACGGTGGAGCACAGACCTCCTGCTGCTGTCTGGTTTTGAGAAACAACAGCAGTTAGGCTTTGTCTGGGTGGTCATTTGGAAATTCTGGCCCACTTGTCCTGCTGACCAGGAGGCACTGTCTTCAAGGCCAAGTGCAGGGGCCAGGCAAGACAGAACAGAGGCGGTGTTTGAACGGATTTGAGGAGGCTCTGTTTTCACATCTGATGCTCTTTCTCATGCTAATCACCTGAACATCAGGACTCAGTCTGGCCTTTCACGCATGAGGTGCCTTGAGGGGCTATCATCACAGGAGAACCTTCATTCTCCCTCTAGCCCTCCCCCCAAACCCGTCAGTCCTGGGAAGCATGCCTTGTTTCAGAAGGACAGAGACACGCTAAGTAGAAAACTGGGGAAGGACGTCAGGGGGCGGCCCGGCCCGCACAATCTCAGACTGGAATCTTCTATCAAGCTCCGGGCCCTCTGAGCCCTGCCGTCCTCTCTCCCCGAAATTCTTTCCCACCTAGTTGGAGTCTCAGCCACACTCTGCTCGTGGCATACACAGTCCATATGGCGTGACCTGCTTAGGGCAAGGACATCTGGGTCTCATATTCCTTTTGTGTGCCCACTGGTGCCCAGGATAGCGTCACCTACATGGTGCCCACTGATTAATTCAGACGAGGGCCCTCATCTTTAGAAGAGTTCAGAGTTACAGGACATTTTAAAAGATTACATAAAGGATGGAAGGGCAAACAAAATAGAGTCCATCCAAAGGGTTCCTCTTCAGCCTTAAAAAGAAAGGAATTCTGACTCAGACTACAAGGCGGATGGACCCTGAGGACATTACGCTGAGTGAAACAAGCCAAACACAAAAGGACACACACTATATGATTCCACTTATATGAGGACCTAGAGTGGCAGATTCATAGAGACAGGAAGTAGCTGGTGGGTGCCAAGGGCTGGGGGAGGGGCCGGGGAGTTGATTGTTTCATGGGGACAGGGTGTCGGTTTGGGAAGATGGAAAGTTCTGGAGATGATGGTGGTGACTGGCTGCACAACAGTGTGAATGCCACTGAACTGGATGCTTGTAAATGGTTAAGATGGTAACTCTTATGTGTATTTTTACCACAACTTGAAATCAGTCATGTCAAGGATCACTGCGGGCACTCAACACCGTTTGGTCTGGCGGGCTACCAGCCTCCCCTGTTGATACCGGTGCTGATGCAATCCGTAAGTCCAAACCATTTTGCGATATGAAAGGTGGAGTTCCAGCCCCCCACCCCCCACCCCCACCCCCAGCCGCGGCGGAACCTGTATCTCTGTTGTGCAGCTACCGTGAGGGTGGAGGGAAGTGGCGATTCAGGAAAAGGACAGAAGTGCCCAGTTGGAGCCAAGTTCCTATCCTCGGTAAATCCCGGCGCACGGGGTTTCCAGCACACATTATGCACGGAGTGGGCGCTCCGTGATTGCCCAGGGGCTGACCAATGTTTAAATCCTTTCTGGTAGGTTGATAACTTTATACCTTCACGAAGAGTCATAAATGTCAGGAGAAAGTCTTTTCAACTAGTAAATCAGAGAGTTTGAGAGCAGGCCTGGCACACGGGTCAGTTTGGTCCAAGACCAAGTTTGTGCAGGTGGCCCTCCGCTCCGCCGACACGCGTGAACTTACGACGGAAGCCCCAGCTCAGACAACCTGCTCACATGGCGCCCAGGCCCAGCTGGGCAGGCTGCTCCCCACAGCATAACTGCAGCCCTGCGGCCCCAGCAACAGAGCTCCGAGCCCATCTGACTCCCGGTGCTCAAAAGCTGGGTGTGGGCAGTGTCCTGGGGTGCGTGTGTGCGTGCGTGTGCGTGTGTGTGTGTGTGTGTGTGTGTGTGTGTGTGTGTGACGTGACTTCAGACCCCAGCCCACGAAGACCTCCTCCTCATCCCGGCTTGGCCGGGAACCTGGGCTCCTCCAGGGCCCTGCTGGGAGGGGCCCTCCCCTCCTCTCCCTCCCTCCCTACCCCGGGGCCCCCACCTTCTCAGGAGCCTCTGAGTCAGGCCTGGCTGTGGTCTGGAAACTTCCGGTTCTTTCAGGTGTTAGAAAAGGTTCTTTTCCTCCTGCCGGGGCAGGTGCAAGAGGGGCGCGCTGGGGGGCCCCTGCCGCCTGCCCTCCCATTCGTCCCTTTCCTCTCGGAGGGGCGTGGGAGCTTTGCCAGACGGAGACACTCAGGGACGGTCCAGAGAAACACAGGGGAGAGATACCGGGAGGTGGAAAGTAGGGGCAACAGAAAGGTTTGGAAGGGGAAAGGGGGACAGAGAGAGGAGAGAGAAAGAGGAGGAGAAAGGGGGACAGAGATGGTGGGAGAGGGATGGGGCCCAGCACTCCCGGGCTAACGGAGCCAGTCACTCCCGCCCCCGCCCCCACCACCACAGCCGCTCACAGCTGCGAAACCCCCACCCCCACGGCGTCCCCCACACTGTGGACCCCTGTATCCGCCGGCGTCTACTGACTCTGCAAGTCGTTTCCTCCACCAGGACTGCACCCCTCCGCCCGAGTGTGTTCCCCATCCCCACCCCTGTTCGGTTTCCCCTCCCCCC